GCAATATGGGTGTGTACGGCCGCGGCCTGGTTCATTTCTGCGCATGCGCTGTTGGACCACCAGTTCCCTCGCACGCCCCGGGGGGGAGGGGGCGGGGGCGGCAAGGCGGCGGACGGTTCTATTTGCCTGCGCCCGGGCGCGCGGCCCCGGCCCCTGTCCACCCGGCTCCGGGCGGAAATGTGCGTGGAATGGCCAAGCCCAGCGATTTTCGGCAAGCCCGATCACGCCCGAGCATATCACGACGATCAACGCACACGCCTGAGGCCATTTCCTCTGGCGACCGCGCGGCGTGTCCGCCCACGACCCCACCAGGCACCGGGGGCAGCGTCGGGCCTCCTCTCGCCACCCACACCGGAGATCTCTGCCACCCGCGCACGGCCTCTTCGGCCAGGGTTGTGCGCCGATCACACTTGCCCCCGAAGGCAAGACATCCTCCCCGCCCGCATCCCGCGCCCGTTCCTGCTACTCGCTCTTCCCCTCCCACCTCCCTCTGCTCGCGTTCTTCCCCCTCGCCCCCGCCCGCGCCCCCCCCCCCCTTTCCCCTCGTTCCCACCCTCCCTCTCCTTGGAGCCACACTCAGGATGGAAGCATCCCCCGTCGCTGGGCCGTGGGCCTCGGTCAGCCCGGCCCTCAGTGCGGAGACTATGCGCGCGCTGGACCGCCTGGAGTTCCGGGCCATGACCCCGGTCCAGGCCGCCGCCGTCCCACTGCTCCTCAAACGCCGTGATGTGGTGGCCGAGGTGCGCATCCAGGCACATCCGCGCCTCTGACTGCCTTTCCCTCCCCCCTCCCGGCCGGCGACTCACTCCTCCTCCCCGATTGACTGACCTGCCCGTCGGCCGCCCCCCTCCCTCCTCGCCCACTCGTCCATCTACGCACACGCATGCCAGGCTGTCACTGGCTCCGGCAAGACGCTGGCCTTCCTGATCCCGGTCATCGAGCTGGTTCGGCCACGTGTCCGGCCTCCGCCTGCCCCCGGCACCGAGGCCACCCCAGTCAACCCCAACGACGATGATGACGACGATTCCGGCGATTGGCTTGGGCCCCGCCAGGTGGGCGCCATTGTCGTGGTGCCGACCCGGTGCGTCCCTGCGCCGCATGTTCCCCTCGATGCCACCGGTCTCCTGCGAGCGCATTCTTACCACGGCCTTCGCCGCCTGCCCCTCCTCCCCCCCCCCCCCCCCGCCAGTGAGCTTGCCCGCCAGGTGTTTGATGTGCTGGACTCCCTGCTGAAGGAGGAGCCGCACATCTCGCGACTGCTGGTCACCGGCGGCGGGGCCGACGCCTCTGTCGACAAGGACATCCAGCGCATCCGGTCGCAGGGTGCCCACATCCTGGTGGCCACCCCCGGCCGTCTGGAGGATCTGCTCAATCGCAATGGTGCTGCCGGGTCCGGCCAGCGCCGGCTGATTGACGTTCGGGAGCTGGAGATTCTGATCCTGGACGAGGCCGACCGGTAGGTGACACCCCTCGACCTTTCTCGCCGCACCCCCGGACTGGCCCGATGCACTCGCTGACCCCCCACCTTCGTGTCGCCGGCTGTCCCACCCTCGCCTGCGCCGGCCAGCCTGCTTGATCTTGGCTTCCAGAGCTCGCTCGACGCCATCTTGGCACACTTGCCGAAGCAGCGCCGGACGGGGCTCTTCTCGGCCACCCTGACGGACGGCCTGGAACGCCTGGCGCGCGCGGGTTTGCGTAATGCCGTGCGCGTCGCGGTGCGCATCCGCTCGGACGCGGCCAAGAGCACCACGCCCACGGGTGAGATCAAGATTCCCACCCAGTACGTTGTGGCCCACCCGCTGTGCCTCCACACCTCGCCCGCCCATCCACCTCTCCCCTCCTCACACGCCGCAGCCTCCGAAACTACTACTCTTTGGTGCCGCCAGCCATGAAGATCGACGCCCTGGTTTTCCTGCTGCTGCGCCTGGCGGGTGCTCAGAAGCCCTGTCTCCAGGCCGATGGCCAGGGCGGGCTCAACCCATATGCCAGTGACCCGGCCAAGGTCATCGTCTACTTCAGCACCTGTGCCTGTGTGGAATACTTTTCCAAGGTGCGCCGCGTCCTTCCGCGCGCGCCCCCCCCCCCCCACCTGTCGGGTCACTAATGCGCGATCCCCCCCCCCCGTCTAGCTGTTTGAGGCCGCCCACCCGGAGCTCGAGGGCCGCATTCACGCCCTCCACGGGAAGATGCCCCAGCGCCGGCGGAATGGTGCGTCTTCGCCATGCCCTCCCCGATAGGGATCTGCCGCCGGCTTCGCTCGCTCAGATGCAACGCCCGCTCGCGTGTTGTCGCCCTCTCTCGGCCCGCGCTCGCCGGCGCTCGTCTAACCGCACTCCCCCCCCCCCCCCCCCCCC